CTTTACCTTTAAGTCACTACTTATAATTGCTACAGTCTTTTATCTCTTTATTAGCAATAAAGAGGTAGCACTTAACATACAGTGATATACATTTAAGAGACAGTCAATCACTTTCATATCATCTGTATTTTCTACTCACTTCAGAATACACATACAGCTTAGAAACTTTATTTGTAAATTTAATAGAGCAAGATAAAGTTACTTGTATCAACAAAGCAGTACAGTGCAACATCATGCACTAAATTTGGAATTTAGAGGACCTGAGTTCGAATCCTAGCTGTCATTCATTGCACGTGGGACCTCTAGTCAATCTTGACTATCACTCTGGGCCTTCAGTATCTCATCTGCCAAATGAAGGGGTTGGACCAGATAACCTCTAAGGTCCCTTCCAGCTTTAAACCTGATTCTATGATCTTAAGGCTCATTTCCACCTGCCATTTTGGGATCTGCCTAATACTGACCTTTCTTTTATAACCTTTAAAAATATATAATGTATATATAAATACTAAATGCAGCTACATCCCATGTAAAACTGACATTAAGCTTTTGTGCATGACTGTTTAGTCACTGAAAGTCATCTTTTATAATTGCTACACAATTTTATATCTCTTTTTCAGCAATAAGGAAAGAGGTAGGACTTGCTTTAATATATACAGATATACATTTAAGACAGAGTTATCTCATAGCATCAGCATACTAACTCTGGGAACGTAATGAACCTGTCCCCATTCGGATTGTATCCACTGTATGTAAGCCAACATAAAAACAAGTTAAGGCTAATATATAACAAAGGATTATAAGATTTTGAGCTGGAAGAGACCTTTGGGATCATCTGGTCCAACTCTCCATACTGCAGATAAGAAAACTAAGTAGAGCAACTTTCTCAAGGTCACACAGGTAGCAGAGCCTAGAGTCAAAGCCATGTCCTCTGACTTCAAAATCCAGTGTTCTTTTCTACTATGCCACACCATACAATTATCACTTATCATAAATACTTGACATTTTAGAATTTTCAACTACTGTCATTGGGATGAAACTACTTAACATTAAGACAGCATATAATCATGCAGATTTTCACTGGGGGATGATGAGTATTTTTATAAACAATACAAAGGTCTTAATGTGACTTTTTCTAAAATAAAATTCTTTAAAAATGAAGTATCTGAAGTACCCTTCATTTACTAAGCCATTTTAAAAGCAGCTGCTATTCTATCTTTATCAAAGAAGCCCTCCCTGTAGGACTTCTAAAATGTAAAAAGTAAAGTAGGCCACATTCTTTGTGAATGTAACTGTATTCCAAAAATTCACTGTTATGTGAATAATCACATAACAAGCTGCTACACCTAAGTTTTTAAGTAGTTCTTAACTATATCTCTGGTCCATGTTCTATTTTAAAATCAAGGAATTATGAATGTTCATGTTGACTTTTTCTGCATAAAAATATAAAGGCCCAAATGCACCTTATGAAACCAAAAACATGCACTTCCTAAACTAGAGACAAATATCAAATATCAAGGACCCCAAGTGAACAAAACCACTTTATACTCTTTCTGTACACTGGAACCCAAAATACCATATGCTTGACTGTTTCAAACAAGTAATATACCATGAGAAACTGCTGTGTAATTTCTTTATTTTCTGCATATTAGTTCTTTTTCAACACTACAGTCATTAAAAACACAATTCCAAGTACTATACTGTTAGGGAGATAGTCTAGAGACTCATTTACTTTTTTCAGACAAGATTAACCTCACTCAAAACTTAATGCATCTTATAAAACATGAACACAGAAGTTGATGCACTTTAAACTTCAAATTATACTCAAAAATAACTGGAGTTCTTAAGATATGGTTTTTTTCCCTGTAGGCTATAATTACCAGCCCCATAATTACTAATGGTTATGGTTGAATTTAACTAGAAAAATTATAATCTATTTTTCATCCGTTAAGGAAAATCTGAAGTAAAATTTACAATTGCTTACCAAAAGGTATTCAAAGTTCTACTATATTTCAAAATGTTCATTTTCTCTTTTCAGATATTTCAAAGAACCTGAAAATAATTTTCATTACCTTTTCACCTATTCAAAAGAAACCACTTAAGCACATAAAATCTTTTAAACAACACTGTTTTAATATTAAAAAATTAAAAGCTAACCAATCCAACTGCTTGTTTCCAAAAAAAGAAATGTTATAAAGAATTTCAAAAAACTATTAGCATGAGGGCCTCAACTTTCCTCCAGTTTGGGAATTTTCTGTGCTTATCTTATTTCAGGTGTTATTAGTACATTCTGATATTTGAATATCATTTTACAACCATATTTTATGCACCTTAAAAATTAGAATCATTCAAAAGACTATGAATTAAATTTATGATGGAGCCTTTGAATTCTTTTTTAAGGGTACCCAAAATGTTTTATTTAGTCAATCTAATTTTCAGAGGCCTTGCCCCTGAAATTAAACTGCTAGTTACAGCAGGAATTTTAGTACCTATTCCATACAAATTCTATAGAAACAGAAATTATCTATTAGTCTACTAAGTGAAATATTTGCCCAAGTTCTTTAATGTCAAGAAGTGAATTTTTTATAACCTCAAGCCCCTCATATCTTTGGTAAAAAGCACCATCATACATTTTGTGGTCAAAAAACATGCAGGATTAATACTGCACAACTGTAATATAGTGTCTCATTCAGACTTGTGGATTTTTCACAAACCCTACGTGCACACAGCACACAGACATACAGACACACACACCACCTCATTTCTGGTTTTATAATATACATTCTTTAAATTCCAAGTTTTAACTTTTTAATGATCTCTAAAAATCAATTATCTGAGGCTAAGAACCAGCTGCTGCTGCACAATTCTGTATCAAGTATTAACATTTGATTCAAAATACTCAACTATCCAGTTAACAATGTAGTCATTATACTGACTGTAGCTGACAAACGGACAAACTGGTTATATCTTTCACAAGACTTATAAATTTACATTCATTGTCATATGTAGGCTCACTACCTATTTTCCACTACTTACTTGGCATTTCTTATCAGTGGATTTTATGTAGTCATTCATCAATTTTCCTTTTCTTCTAAGTTTAAATAAATGTGAACTAATAAAATATCTGACTACCACCTAAATGAATTAAATCTACATTCTCACAAAATTAAGTCAAACTTTTAAAAATAATTCATCTTTTTCACTGATAATTAAGATATAGGTAATTTGTAAACTCTAAAAAAAATTACTTCTTCAACTTAATCAGCTGTGATATGGAAACTGGAATGTTTGCTTTTGCAGTTAGGAAAAAAGATTGATATAATCTGAATTTTTAAAAATATTTCAGAACTGACCACAGTAAACAGACTAGTAATTATCAAAATTCACTGTTTTGTTTTGTTAAAATGTAACAAAATGTTTCAGCTATCAAAGTGGTGTGTACCATTATTGCTCTATTGCCTGAACAATTTTTACACTATTATCAGAAGTGAACAAAAAAACAATGGGAGAAAATTCAGCAAAATTGCTAACTTTTCAATATAATATGGCCTGTTCAAACTTTCACATTTTCATTCAGGGAACAGCCAGCTACGTGGTACAGAAAATTTGGTTTTATCCCTACTCATGCATGATGATGTATGTTTCAGAACTTAATAGCTAACATTTCAAAGCACTTCTTACATTACCTGCTTAACATTACTGATTTGCACTTGCAAGTTATTACAATGGTATCACTTGTTTGCCACTGCTGGCAACGTTTTACCATTCTAGTTTTAGATATAAAAGGACACACCTGAAATTACTAAAGTTAGAACTCTTTAAAAAAAAAGAGTCCTTAAATATAAAAGACAGACTGCAGTTTGATTAAGCAATAATTTTCAGTTTACTAGATGAAACAGACTTGCAACATCGTCTGCATGAATGCAAAATAAGCCATCTACAGCAAGTGATAAGGTAACTGGGTAAAAGGGGGGAGACATACATTGAAAAAAAAGATTCCCTCAAAATAAAAAAATCAAGCCATTATTATAAAGGACCATCTCAAAGAGTTGCTATATTTTCCCCCACCCCATTTGCTGGAAGTCAACAAGAGCACCTAGTACTTTGTGTTCATGTCAAATGTCAGACTAGAGCATCCTAAAGCAAAGCAAAAAAAAAAAAAAAAACCGAAAGAAAAAAAAAAAGAAAAAACAAACAAGAGGAACCCCCACCCCAACCCAAACCCCCCAAACTGTAAAACAGTAACTCCAGAGTCCATATTCAAAAGAAGAGAAAGTGGCATTTGGAGGTGATGGTGGTGATAATCCTATGAATGTTTGTTTTTTTATTTCTCTCCTGAGGGGAGTTGGGGAGGGGGGTGTGATGGGCGGTGAATGCTCATTAGGATTTGTAGTTAGAGGTTAACCATGTGAGGCCCTCATAGAGTCCATCCCCTGAGGTGGCGCAGGAAGGCTGCACATACCAGTTCCTGTCCCGAATCCGGGTCAGGCCCAGTTTTTCCTGGATCTCGTGGGGTTTCATGGCATCAGGCAGGTCCTGCTTGTTGGCGAAGATGAGGATGATGGCGTCCCGCATTTCCCGGTCGTTGATGATGCGGTGAAGCTCCTGGCGGGCCTCGTCGATGCGGTCTCGGTCGGCGCAGTCCACTACGAAGATCAGCCCCTGGGTCCCGGTGTAGTAATGCCGCCAGAGCGGCCGGATCTTGTCCTGGCCGCCCACGTCCCACACGTTGAACTTGACGTTTTTGTAAGTCACCGTCTCCACGTTGAAGCCCACGGTGGGGATGGTCGTCACCGACTGGCCCAGCTTCAACTTGTACAAGATAGTGGTCTTGCCGGCGGCGTCCAGCCCCAGCATCAGGATCCGCATTTCCTTGTTCCCGAAGATCTTAGACAGCACCTTCCCCATCGCGTCGGAGGAGCCGGGGCTGGGGGCATTCAGGTGTCCCGCGTCCCCTTAGCCACCGCCGCCGCCGCCGCAGCCTCCAGGAAACCGAAGCGGTCCCGCCCAGCCGCGAGGACGCCCTGCGGCCTGCAATGGGGGCGCTGCCGCCGCCGCCTAGGGGCCGAATCCCGGGCCCCCACTCAGGCGGACATCACCTGCCCCAAGACGGGCTTCCTCCGGTCGCCGCCGCCGGCCACAAGCTGCGCCGCGGGGAGCCGCCGCCCTGGTGAGGCCCAGCCCGGAACTGCCCTTCCCCCCCAGGCACCGAGCGCCGCCGCTCCCGCTCGGGCCGCTCCTCGGACTGCCTGCTGTCTCTCCTGGCCCCGCCGCCGCCGGAGACCCCGGCCCGCCCGCCCGCCGAACCACCGACCCTCGACGCCCGAGCGACAGCGGCGGTTCCGGCTCCTCGTCAGGTCATTGATCCCCGGAGGGACTTGGCGAGCTACCTGGAAGGAGACAGAGAGGGGAGGAAGGAAGAAGGGGATTACCGCCGGGACTCCGGGAAAGAAACAGAGAACCCGAGTACCCGCCTTCCCCACCCAGCCCAAGCAGTTACCTCCGGCCACCGCCCTGTATGCAGGGTCCCCCGGCCGACGCTGCTGCTGCCGCCGCCTCCTCCTCTTCCTCCTCCCAGCTCAGCCCCAGCCACAGCCGGAAAAGGCGCCGAGGAAACCGCCTCACTTCCCCTCTCAGCCACGCAGGCGCAGCGGCGGGCAACCGACTGTTCAGAAGAAAGGGACCTCTGTAAAAAGAGTGCTCTCAGCGCCTCGCGTCATCGGCGCCACGCGGGGAAAAGGAGAAGCGCGGAGTACGGTGGCCCGAAGGGCTCCCGTGGGTGACGGAGAGGGGCGGGTCAATAAAGAGTAAGGCTGGGAGGTGTCTGCAGCTTTACTTATCCACCTCCCGCTCTCCCGCCCTCTTCTCTTCTCGTCTTCTTACCCTACGCTTCCATTTCTTTCGTTCTGGCCGCTTCACCAGTTCAAGGGTTGAGAATCCTCGGGAAAATCCGCTAGCGTGCGGGGCCAGCCTGCCCCCCGCCTACTAAAAGGTCCCCTCATTTCTGGCTTGGCCCTCTCGCCCGGCCTGACCCCGTTTCCGTCGTATCCCTCTCCGCCCCCAGCCCCGCGCCACACGCCCGGGCGGACCTCGGCTCCCGCGCCGCGTCGCGCCGCGCCAAACGCCCCCGCTGGCCTCCCGCCCGCCTTGCCCTGCGCCGCGCCGCGCCGCGTCGCTAGACAAGACCTACGGAAGAAGCCCACGCGGCTTTACTGGACTCGTCACCGCGGCCCGCGTTTGGCCGGGCCGGCGTTGGGCGTGCCCCGCGAGCTTCCCCTGCTGCCCAAACTTCTGCTGAGAGTCCGCCGAAGAATCTCTTTTTCTCTGCAGTTTTAAAACTGTGTCGTGGTTGTGTGTGTTTGTGTGTGTTTGCACTCCAGACCTGTGATTTCTGTGGTTTCCCTGAGTGGAAACTCCCGCCACCGGTGCAGGACAAGGGATAATTTGAAATTTAAAACTTAGTATTAACCCAGCCTGACCCGGACCTGGGCTATACCTTCCACGGAAGTTAAACTGAAGTCTGACAGTTAATCAGGACTTGGCCTCCCATCCCTGCGGTGTGACCTTGGACACCTCCCCAGGCCTATTTCCTCATCTGTAGAATGGGGTTGGACTAAGTGACCTCAAAAGCACCTTCCAACTGTAAATTCTATCATTCTATTAAGGGATTTTCCTTTTTTAGCCTGCATTTTATTCTAAGTGAGTTTTTATTCAATGAATTAAGGAAACCTATTTATATCAAATGCTATCTATAAAGTAGTTGAAAAAAGCACTGACTGGAGGAAAAAGTTCTGCCTTTACTTCAGTTTCATCATGGTGGGGATAATAAAAACTGCTTCCTCCCCCAATTCCCTGCGCCACACACACACCTCAAAGGATTGTAAGGATCAAATGAGTTAAAATGTGTACATAAATGTTAGTGATGCCAGTACAAATCAAAACTAAAATAAGATGAAATTCTAGAATGAGAACTTACCATGGCAGGAAGAGGAACTAGTAAAAAGAGTAGTTTTTAGTTAGGTTTGATGTTCTGTTGAACAGTTGGAGGGAACAGTTGGAGGTTGCTCTTCATACAAAGGTACAAAATTAAAATATAAAATAAATTGCTCAGATCATGAAATAGAACAAAATTCTTAAGCCACTAATTCAGTGATTTACAGGATTTTTATCACCCGTATGAATTTTCCCTCCATAATACAAATCACAGCTCCTAGACTTTCTCATTCAGTACGATTTTTGCCCATGCTTCCTTGTACTCAATGTGCTAGGGGGCCTTCCTCTAAGTCTCTTAACATATAAATAAATAACTGTAGGGGACACAGTCTTGTCCTTCTATTCGCCAACACCTTCTGTTATCCCTCACTTTTGCTACATGACCAGTCGACTTTCTTATGTCTCATTGGACAGCTAAGTGGTACAGTTGGTACAGTACTGAAGTTGGGAGTCAGAAAGACATGAATCCAAATCTTGCCTCAGAGAAACTGTGACTTGGGATCTGTAAATTGCTGTTTTTATAATGAGTTGAGTTGAGGATCAAATGGAGTAATACAGGGAAAGGACTTTGCAAATCCTAAACTATTATATAAACACTAGCTATCTGTTATACATCACTTTGATGTGTAATGAAGTATAAAATATCACTTTTGATCATTTGCACTGCTTTTTATAATGCTTTTTTTGGTGATGTGTGAGTCATAATTTTGATTCTTTGGAAAATGTGATATTCCATGATCACAGACATATAGTATCACTAAAAGAATATGGGGTTTTGTTTTATGGAGAAGTTAGGGGTCATTAAAAACAATCTCCTTAGCTTGCTCTTACTCCTGTTCAATTCTACCCACCTCCCATTCTGCCCCCATTGTCTGCATTGTTTGTCCAGGACGTACATATATATATATACTGATAGACCATCTCACTACTTCATTTAGAAAAGAAGCATTCTTAATCTTGTTTTTTCATATTGATAAATAGCCCAAACTCTTTTGAAAGATTATGGACCCTATTCACATCTACAGTGTTCCAGGTCTTAGCACAATCCACACAATGTCATCTACAAGGTGGCAAGAAGTGCATAGAATGTTGGACTTAGAGTGAGGAAGACATGAGTTGGAATCCTGTCTTAGGAACTTTCTAGATGTATAAACTTGGCAAGTTACAACCTCTCTCATTCTCAGTTTCTTCATCTGTAAATTAAGATAATATCTGCCTCACAGAGTTGTGAGGATCAAATGAGATCACATACAGAAAGTGCTATGTAAACTTCAAAGGCTATATAAATGCTAGCTATCATTATCTGAAAGGAATATCACCATCTATAAGATCACCATTTTCTAGCTGGACTCAGTTCTGGAAATCTTTCATTACAGTGCCAACACCTTTGACAAACATATCTGTTTTAAGCTTCATTTGATATTAATAGTGAGGCCACATGGCATAGTGGTGCCCTCCTGGATGACTACCTTGTTGTGGCAGAAGGGCTTGCATAACTCAGTGAAACTATGAGCAATGATGCACGGAGTTACCCAAGATGAGCAGGTCATAATGGAAAGTTCTGATAAAAGGAGTTTCACTGGAGAAACCACTCCAGTGGTTTCTGAGAAAACCCCATGGACAACATGGAGGGTGGAAGGGCCTGGTGTGCTGTGGGGTCACGAAGAGTTGGACACGACTACACAATTGAACAACAATGGCATAGTGGATAGAGCGCTAGCCTCGGAGCCAGGAAGACCTAGATTCAAATATCATCATACTGCCCGTGACCCTGTGCAAATCACTTAACATTTACGTAACTTTCTAAGACTATGTTGCAGAGAATGGGTCAACTTAACATTGGTAGAAGAAATTTCATCATCTCAGATATCCAGTCCCTGTACTTGATATTAATAATCAGAGGTTCATTGAATAAAGTTATCTCATATCTTTCAAGGAATCATGTATGATTCTAACATGCATGGAAGACATCTTGTTGCAGGAAAGGCTTAAAGGTGATGAAAAACAATTTTTAAAAAATCAGAAGACAAGTACAACACAAAGTTTCTCTGTACCTTTCAATCAATTATGTGACCTACCCTTCCAGGCTTATTATACATTATTTTCCTTAAAGGCTCTCTACAGTACAACAAACCCAGCCTTCTTGTTCCTTCACACATAATATAACATTCCATCTCACATGTCTGTACCTCTGCACTTGCCTTCATACCTTGAACGTACCCCCCCAACCCCATTTTACCTCTGCTTCTTAGAATTTCTAGTTTCCTTCAAAGCTTTTCTCTCTTAAATAAAATGTTTTCCTGATCCTCCCAGCTGCCAGCGTCTCCTCTTCTTGGAATACCTTGTGTTTATTTTGTATGTACTATATGTGTACATGTTATTTCCTCCAATAGACTCTAAGCTGCTTTGAGGTAGTTTCATTTTTTTTTTATCCCCAGTTTCTAGCAGTGTCTGGCATATATTCTATGTTTAAGTGTTTATTGACTAATTGATCATAAAAGTATAGTCTTCCATAGAATATTGTTCATCTGTTTCCCTCTCATATCTTCATCAAGGATGTCCTCAAAATGAGTTGAGACTATTGTAATAAACTATAATTTAATTTTAATTTTTTTCCACTAACAAGCATTTTCTCTCCCCAATTCACATACTATGCCACTCCCCACTGAAGAAAAGAGAAAATAAAAAGAAAACCCTTAAAGGAAATATGTATAGTCAAGCAAAGTTAATTCCCACATTGGTCACATAAAAATATACATCTCATTCTGCATTCCGAGTCCATCACGTCTCTGTCAGGCAGTAGGTAGCATTCTTCATCAGCAGTGTTTTGGAATTGTGGTTGATCATGGCATTGATCAGAATTCTTAAATCTTTCAAAGTTGTCTTTACAATGTTGTTACTATATAAATTTTCTCCTGGTTCTACTCGCTTCTCTTTCAGTTCATACAAGTCCTCCCAGGTTTCTCAAAAACTATCTCTTCATTTCTTTTATCACAATGATATTCCGTTACATTCACATATAATTTGTTCCCTGTTTAACGGATATCCACTTTGTTTCCAATTCTTTGCAACTATAAAAAGAGCAGCTATAAATATTTTTTTGTACATATGAGTCCTTTTCCTCTTTCTTTGATCTCTTTGAGTTATAGGCCTAGTAGTAGTATCACTAGTTCAAAGCTTACACAAAGCTTAATAACTTCTTAGGCATAGTTTCAAATTGCTTTCCAGAATGGCTGGACCAATTCACAGCTCTATCATGAATATTTTAATATGCCTGTTTTCCTGAAGCCTCCCCATTTGTCAGGTTTTTTTTTCTAATTAATTTTGCCAATATGAGGAATATGTGATGGAACCTCAGAAATACTTTAATTTTCATTTCTCTAATTATTAGTGATTTGGAGCATTTTTCACGTGGTTGTTGATAGCTTGAATTTCTTGGAAAACTTTAATTTCATATCTTTTGACAATTTATCAACTGGAGAATAGGTTTCATTCTTATAAATTTAAATCGGTTCTTTAATATTTTGAAACCTTTGACAGATAAACTTACTGCAAAGATTTTTTTCCCAACTACATTCAACTTATACCCTCATTTTTGAACTTTATTTTTTCAATTAAAATACACCTTCTCTCCCTCCTACCTCCATCTCTCCATGACAAAGAAAGAAAAACCAAACCATCGTAACAAATTTGCATGGCTAAGCAAAATAAGTTCTCATATGGGGGCCATGCCCCAAAATACATATGTCTCCATCTGCACCTTGGGCCCATTACTTCTTTGTTGGAAGATAGGTATTACATATCATTATGAGTTCTCCATAATTGTGGTTGGTTACGATATCAATCAGAGGTCGTTCCCCCCAGCTCCTTTATAAAGAAGAAGAAAGTGGCAAAAGAGAAGGAAGATGTTCAATACCAGTGCTGTGGATTTGGTGCAATCAATTTATGCTCTCCTGCTCTTCTTCTCTTTTGCCTCATTGTTTAGTCACTGTCAGATGTGTCTGACTCTTCATGACCCTTTTGGGGGTTTTCTTGGCAAAGATACTGGAGTGGTTTGCCATTTCCTTCTCCAGCTCATTTCACAGATATAGAAACTGAGGCAAACAGGGTTAAGTGACTTGCCCAGGGTCACACAGCTAGGAAGTGGCTGAGGCCAGATTTAAAATCACGTCTTCCTGACTCTAGCCCCAGCACTCTTATCTACTGCACCACCTAACTACCCATCCAGAGTCTAATCACATACTTTCTTGAGATCCACTTTCTATGGTTAGTTTGTTTTGCCTAAGTTAATTCCTCCATTAATATACCCTCCGTATTATTCTCCATTTTCCCTTCTCTCATTTCCTTCTTGTTTCTTTATTGATTGAAGTGTATTTCTATACCCAATTCTTGAGTATATTCTTCTGTTCTTTGACTTGTTCAGGTGAAAGTCACGGTTAAGTGTCCTGCTCCCTCCCCACTTATTTTCCTTGTTTGTATTACTTCTACTTGTACACACAAATTATGTGGGATAATTTCCTCTACCCTTTCTCTCTCCATTTTTATCCCCTAGTGCGTCCTTCCCCTGTCCCAGTCCCACCCCTCCCCAGCCTTTTTCTTCTTTAACGATTATCAAAACATAAAAAAAAAAAATCACACTCTCTGGCCTTTTGTCTATGACCCCTGATAATGATAGGATTCTGAAGGGACATGTATCATCTTCCCATATTAGAATGAAAATAGTTCATCCTTATTTAGCTCTTTTTCTTACTCATATTTACCCTTTTATTTTTTATTTTTTTCTGTGTTTGTACTTCAAAGTTCCTGTGCAGCTCTGGTCTTTTCATCAGGAATGCTTAGAAGTCCCATATTTCATTAAAAATCCACTTTTCTCCTGGAGCATTATACTCAGTGTTGCTGAGCAAGTTATTCTTGGTTTTAAGCTTCTATCTTTTGCCTTCTGGAATATTATATGCCAAGCTCTCTACTCCTATAACTGTGATGGCTGATAAACCTTGGGTAATCCTGAGTGTGGCTTCTAGGTACTTGAAATCTTTCAGTACTTTTTTTTCTTTGACTGGAAGCACTTGATTTGAGTTATTATGTTCCTGGGAGTTTGTATTTTGAGGTTTCTTTCAGGAGGCAACCTGGTGGAGTCTTTCTGTTTTCACTTTGCCTTCTGGTTTTAGAGATCTGAGCAGTGCCCCTTTATGATTTCTTAAAATATGACATCCAATCCAATGATTCTTAAATTATCTCTCTGAAAGATGTATTTTTCAGGTTATATGTTTTTGACATGAGATATTTTACATTTTCTTCTATTTTTCTTTGGTCTTTTGACTTTATATTGTATAATAGAGTCATTAACTTCTATTTGGTCCATTTTAGTTTTAAAGAAGTCTGCTGTTTGGGTAAGGTTTTGTACCCCTTGTGTCAAGCTGTTAATTCTCTTTTCAATTCTTTCCTTCATAGCTCTCAATATTGATATGATTCATGTTCATCCATTACTATGTCCACTTAGTCATCATACAAGAATTTGAAGTAACATTGGTTAAACTCATCTTTATAGATGGTCTAGAAATTGTTTGTTAGTACCCTTTATGCTGGGATGTGATGGAACCTGCTCATATCAGCTCAAGAGAACCAGCTGTTAAATTTTCAGTGTGAGCATGGTGTGATATTTTCAGAAATGGGCAAATGCTGCACATGAAGGATCTGCTTGTTGTTTTGTTGATTGTCTAAACTTAAGAAAGTGATGGAGGAAATGTCAATAATGCATTAAGAGGTATTGTACATAAATTTTCTTCCAGAAAGTCCTGTATTAAATGTTTATTTGCACATCCCTGCCCCTGCCCTGCCTTTCCATCATATTTGCCAATGTCACCAGAAAAGCATAAATGGGCTACACCCAACTGAGGGCCATTTTGTAATTTTTCTCATTGCAATGATCAAAGATTTTATCACTTAGAGGGTAACTTACTGGTAATAAACCAGAACCAGACTAGAAGCTTTTCCCGCCTTACCAGAGCTTGTATTTCATTAACATGACCTTTGAGAATCCAAAGTCACCTCCATACCACAATAAGTCATTGAGTAGGACTTTTGTAGAAATTCTATAAAACATTCTCCCAAAATCAAACTTGTTGTTAAATTCATTTTTTTTCTATCTATGTAGTATATACTCAAATAGTCACATGGATCTGTCATCTCATTGATATGGATGTTCTTTACAGTGATATAGATTGCAACCCATTCATGCCTGCAATGAGATTCTTGTCCATTACCGCCCATAATTTCACCACAGAGTGTTTATCCAATGTTTTGGAATCCTTCCTCAGTTTCTGTTAGCACCACATGAATAAAAGTAGAACACTCACATTGTCTACTACTGTTACTAGCCTTCACCATCTGGCCAGGCCACCTTTTTTCCCTACCATACTTTTCTTTAGCAACATGTTTCATTCTTGTTCTTCAAAGTTCCTCATAGGTTGGAGCCTGTTTACTCCACATTCACACCCCATGACCTTTTCCATGGCCATCTGTGTGATATTTATTTTCACTTCTTCAGAGACTGTTCTGCTCCATGTCTCACAACTATACAATACCACCCGAAGAATGTTGGGATTTAAAAGGTGGGCTTTGGTATAACAATAACAACTGCTGCTGCTGGACCAAAGATGGAGGATCAGAGCACCCTTTCTACTTCTAAGGGGTCCCTCTCAGTTATGAACCCATGAATGCATCTAAACTGGGTTCAATCATAGGAGATCTGACTTCTGAAGGAAGGAGTTAAATTATTTTTTAAAATCTTTGACTCTTCACACCACCACCTCAGTCCTAGAGAAGAATTACTTAACACTTAGATTTAGGCTCATGTCTTTTGTCTCCCCAAAGGGGAGTAGAAAAGTATTTAGTGTATACATTGATCATGTGTAGGATGGCTATTTATTAAAGAAATTCTTAAAAGAGAAAGAAAGAGGGAGGGAGGGAGGAAGGAAGGAAGGAAAACATAAAGACTTAAAACAGAATGTCATAATATAACTACTGTTATACTCCCTTGAGAGGATATGAATCAGTTTATGAGACCGCTGAATAAACATTTTACATTTCACCAAACTCTTCATTGTCCAAGCAATACCTACCAAGTCTGTTTTCTGACAAGTCAGGCCTTATTTCCCCAGCAAGTGGTTATCCTTTCCTCCAAGAAGCACTGTAGTGTGTGTAGAGTGGACACCTCACTGAGGAGCCAGGATCTCCAGGTCTCTCAAATTCATAAAGTGGCCTCTAAGACTGGAAATGTCTACCTCAGATCTGATACGCAGTCACCTGTGATCAAGAAAAGATAAAAAAAACAATACAGAATAGGCAATTAAAGCTCTGAGATCCAGGTTCAGATTTGTCCAGGAAGGACATATATTCATGCAGCCAGGATGGGGGAAAGGCACCAGCCCTCTCTGCTATTCCTCCAGGGAAAGACTCCAATAGTGCTAATAGGATGGATAGATGGAAGGGGAGGCAGAAGGCAGATCACCCCACTTTGAAGACATTGAATTAGCAACTCTTTCTGCTCAGTGGCCAAAAAGGACAAGGCATTTTTATGTCCCTTGAAGTAAGTTTCCAGGAGAGGTCTGGCACATGCTTCTTAGGATTTCCCTGATTTCCACTCATGGGACATAACCTCTGCAACATTTGTATCCAGGAAAAACTTAGTCTCATTAAGGGAGCTTTGATATTTCCTGAAATCAATCAATCCCCTATCTTTTTCTGTTTAACTCTGGGCACAACTTGTTATCCATTTATATTGTCCGTTCCAGATATGAATACTAATGGACAAGCTATACAAATTGCCCGTACAACTGCTTATCATAATCTGAAGAATAGACATTCTTCATGTACTTGGTCTTTTCTGTGTGGATGATCAGACCAAACCCTCTCAAGAATTTACAGTTGTCTTCCCAAAGATACTGCAATGTTCCAGAGCTTGATGCAACCAGCGCAATATCATCCACAAATAAGATCACCTGGGAGATCTTGGCACATACAGGGAATCCCTCTTTAACTTTGCCTCTAAGCTGAATCTCCTCTATCACAGTGGCAAATACTTCTATTGGAGCATATTTCTCTCAGTTTTGGCCCTTCTTTGATTTTTTATGGTCAGAGAGTCATTAAACAAGATTATTTCTGTTTTGATATCTTTCAAGGAATCTTGAAGAATTTTTATATTAGGATAGAAATTTTAGATAGAAATTAGAATAGAAATTTATTGAAATCAAGACTTTAAAGTGGTATTTTCCTAATAGGCACTGTTTTCACTTTGTGCTTCTTAAGAATAGTATTATGATAATAAGTAGTTAGAATTACAACTTGGTATTTCAACTTATCATCATAAAGTTCATATTTATTCATGCAATTTATATAACAATAATGACAATATATCACATAGCTATGCAAAAATTGACCTCTGCTTTGAATCCATGAAATCCATTCATGAATGTCCTAGTTGGCTCTGAGACAGAATCCTTGTGAAAATGTGCAGTCATAGCTATAATACATGACAATCATATTTAAAATGTTTCTAATTTTGTTGACTCTAGGTTAAAAATGGGAAAAGATTATCAGTAAGATTACTGACTAATAGGAAGAGACAAATTTACTCAAAGCAAATATTTGTGTTTTTTTAGAGCATCTGATATGTTGTTATTTAACTGTTTCATATATGTATTTTCCCATAAAATAAGACCAGGTCTTGTGCTTTTTTGTATATTCCATTGTGTCTGGAAGAGTGTTCACCACATAGAGAGTACTCAGTACATTTTTGTCAAATGAATTGTCATTTCTATATTTTTATTGCATATATCATTTTAGTTCCTTATCCTAAATTTACTCAGATGTCATCCCCTCTTTTATAGAATATCTAGTTGCACAGAGAATACAAAGAGAAGATAAATAATAAACAGGTTAAAATACATATATATGTATACATATACATATATAGAATAGTTACTCTTTATAATAATAACATGTAACATTTATTTAATGTTTTGAAGTTTATAAGTTACTTTACATATATCATCTCATCTGATCTTCACAACCATACTAGGAGATACATGCTATTGTTATACTCATTTCATAAATGATGAAACAGGCTAAGAGATATTAAGTGATTTGCCCAGGGTTACACAGTTAGTGTCTGTGGCAGGATTTGAACTCAGGTCTTCCTAACTGTAAGTCTATTTCTATCCCCTCAACACCTAAATGCCCCTAGAACTACTGGTTAATTAAGAAGTCACAGGAACACAGCATAACATCCTCTCCTGAAGGCTACAAGGTAACAAAGCTATGGAGATACCTAAGGATGCAGCAAAGGGAATTTTCCGGAAGCTGGTCTACAGTCAGGTAGAAGAACAGCTGAGAGTAAGGAACTTCCACCAGCAAGGCAAGCAGCACATATGAACTGTTTCATAGTAGATGACTGGCAATGACAGCAGACAACAGATGGAGGATTCTGTGAAATAACACAAGGCAAGAGGCAAAGAATAAGACTAAAAACCTTAAGTTCCATTCCCTATAAGGCACTTGACTGTTGAGACTATTGCAGACATTGGGCCTATTCAGCAGGGATATACTAAACTGTAACTGATTCCATTCATGGTCCTTAGAAGCAATCCCTTCTATTTGAGCCCTAGTGCTCTATGGCCACAACATAATGACTTTGGCTAACAGGGCAAGACAGAAAATTGGAGCTATTTTTTTAAATGATTTTTCTAGCCCAATATTGCAGCAGATATCACTAAAAAGTGTGAGAGTTGTGCTCAGTGAATGCAGAGAAAAGTATTACTTTTCTCATTCTGCATATTTGGAGAATAGAAGCACTAGTAAACCTTTAGAACTTGTCTTACTGACTTCTTTTTAATCTCTAGAACAACATAGTAATAACATAAATCATATCTTAGTAGTGATAGTAACTAATTATTTCACCAGGTACACAAATATCCCTAACCAGAAACAAGAAAGTTTTGAGTTGCAGAAGGAATTTAACAGCAGCAACTTTCGGAACAACCTACTCAAAGAAATGCTAAAGAACTCTAATCCCAAGGAAACCCATATTTCAAATGAAAAATGATGAATGTGTAAGGAACATTGAGACAAAAAAATAAACAAACCCTCAGTGGAGTCAACATTTAGCATCCTTAGTATATGCCTACAGTTCAATCAGAAATGATACCACAAGTTTACATTACAATTTTCTCATGTTAAGGCAGGAACCACACCTACCTGATGACCTGTGCATTTTAGTTTCAGAAGATAGAGAGGATGGAAATACTCATAAGTATCCCTGAGAAGGAGGCTGAGAGAAACTTACCAATTAGTCATTACTTTAGCTTAGAAAAACCCTAATAGAAACAAATGATGGTATGATGATTAAATTCATTTCCTAGACTAGAAGTTCTCAATTCTTTTGGTTTCATTACCCTTTTATACTCTTAAAAATTATTGAAGATCCTCCTTCAAGAGATTTTGTTTATATGAGCAGTGTCTATTGATATTTAATGTATTGGAAATTAAAACATTTTGTATCATTATGAAAATAGTTTTTACTTCATGGATCTCTTGAAATAGTCTCAGAGATTCTTGGGAGGATCCCCTCAGGGATCCCTTAGGGGTTCCTGAGCCACACTTTGAGCATCACTGATCTAGACATTCAGAAAAGAGAAAGAATTTTGTTGAGAAAGCTTGGTGGGTTAGTGAATACACAGAAAACCAGTCCATGGCAAGTTGTTGAGAGATTTGACAAATTACCTATTTACAGAATACCCCCAAAGAGGGGTGGGAACTCTGTAAAGACAATTAATCGCACCCACATATTGCCCATAGAAGAGTTTGTTAGATTCTCTGATCAGCATGAAGAAAGAAGTCATAATTAGTAGAATGAGTAAATGATACTCACCAGTTATACAAAGACTGTCTGAACTAGACAATAGCTTAGAAGGTGATGATGACATTGTGTTAAGGTAATCGAACAGCCTTGCCTCTACCTGAGGAAAACTCCAATTCAGACTGAAACTGGGGCAGTAGTTTTCCTGCCTAGCACTTTATCTATAGGAAGTCCTGCCAGCCTGGGGCCTCACAAGTTCAGGGGTAGGAATCCAGACCTATAAACCTATTATGATGATGGTCAGTCCATACCATTAGCCAGCTGAAGTGTGATGCAAAAATGTCAACAGATTGCAAGAAAGCTGTATCTACTTACCCTTTGGATCGACTAACGTGAAAAACAGTTACACATGTAGCCAAATGATTGTAATGTTTGCCCATGTAATATATGCCTTGCATGTAATTGCATATGTTGATTATATGTGTTGTGTGGCTTCTAAGTTATAGTTTCTGTTTTATTCTTTTGTACTTTATTTTTGTTTGCTTATGTGCTGTCATGTACATACTAAGCTACATATGTCTGTTAGCTAGTCATTGTTTTTCTGTTTGTCTGTGTAGTAGAAATTGAATTGGCTTGTTAGGTCCATCCCAGGGAGCACTAACTTTTAGGTTCTCCATTGACAATGTGACCCAGCATTTGGGTGCATCAGAGACCACAAACTCTGTGGCTACTTTTAGTCATGTAGTAACTGAATCCTAAAAGGGTATTTTGGTATGATGCAGCAAACCCTGAATGATTCTTTTTTTTTTTCTTTTTTCTTTTCCTTTTGATGAGGCAATTGGGATTAAGTGACTTGCCCAGGGTCACACAGCTAGTAAGTATGAATGATTCTTTAGTCCTCCTCCCATACCATGACAGCAGGAAAGGTAATCCTGTTTCATCAGATAAAAGTAAAAATAGCTTCTGACTTGATCTTTTCCATTGACCCTTGAGTTAGTATCTTGAAACTCCAAGACTTCCAGTGAGGAACAGCAGTTAGAGTAGAGGGACTCTTCCTAAAACAGCTTGAGTCTTGTGCCTTGAATGCCTTTTTCATGTTGTGTTTCTTTTCTTGGCTAAGTAATTGAACATTCTTTTTTTTTAAGTGGTATTTTATTTTTTCCAATTACATGTAAAAACAAATTTTTAATATTCGTTTTTTAAATAAAATTTGGAGCTCCAAATTTCCTCCCTCCTTCCCTCCCCTCCCTCATCTTTCAGATGGTAAGCAATTTGATAGAGGGTATATATGTGCAATCATGTAAAGCATATTTCCATATTAGTCATGTTGTGAAAGAGGAAATAGAACAAAAGGAAAAAACACATACAAAAATAAAGAAAGTGAAAACAGTATGCTTCAATTTGCATTCAGACTCCACCGGTTCTTTTTCTGGATATGAACATCATTTTGCATAATGAGTCTTTTGGAGTTGCCTTGGATCACTGTATTCCTAAGAAGAGCTAAGTCAGTCATAGTTGATCATTGCACAATGTTGTTGTTGCTGTGTACAATGTTCTCTTAGTTCTGCTCACTTTGCTTTGCATCAGCTCATGTTAGTCTTTCTGGGTTTTTCTGAAATCCACCTGCTCTTCATTTCTTATAGCACAACAGTATTCCATTGCATTTATATACCACAACTTGCTTAGCCAATCCCCAATTGATGGGCATCCCCTCGATTTCCAATTCTCTAACACCACAAAAAGAGCAGCTATAGGTATTTTTGTACATGTAGGTCTTTTCCCCCTTTTATCATCTCTTTGGGAAACAGACCTAGTAGTAGTATTACTGGATCAAAGGGGATGTCTAGTTTTATTGCCCTTTGGACATAATTCCAAATTGCTCTCCAGAATAGTTGGATTAGTTCACAATTCCACCAATAATGCATTAGTGTTCTACTAATTAGATATTTTTGAAGAGGATGTGTCCAGGCTTAGAATCAACTTCATGAGCTCTAGAGGTCCTAGGTTCCTGGAGTGAGGAGGCACTTTTATGTACCTGTCTACCACTTACTTTCTGTTTTCACCTCCAATTTGTTGGGAGGAGGGATATAAATAGAAGAAAGTCATTTGTCTCCTTCTTGAATGATGGCCAAGCAGCCAACATTGTAGAAGTTTTATTTCTTTAATTGGTTACCTTTGTTTCTATGCTATTAAAACTTAGATTGCCATTTACCATGAATTTGTCTATCTATAAATATGTAATTTGGATTGAAAAAGACAGATTTTTTACCCTAAAAAGGAAAAGAAATATTACCCTCAGCTCAATTTGAATTGGGGGCAGAGCCAATTAGAGAGTGTATTTATTAAAAATTAGTAATGATTTTCTGGATTGTATATCAATCAATATTTATTAAGTGCCTGCTATGTGCCAGTCCCTTTGCTAAGTGCTGGGAATACATAAAGTAGCAAAAGACACCCTCAGGGAGCTTACATTCTAAAGAGGGAGACAACATGCAAACAAATAATATATAAAGCAAGCTACATACCCGATAAATAGCATGCATGTTTAGTTCCTAACCCTAGACTTTTTTTTTAACTTAAATATAGATAGACTGATAGTAAAAAGACACAGGAGATCTGATTAGAGGATTGGTACCATTTTGCTTGAGGGCACCTTGGCCCTGAAACAGAAGAGACTTGTTATTGATGCCGCTTTGTTTGCTAGGTATTAGCGTCTTCTGAGGTTGCTCATAGTCTTTATGCAGTGAAAGAGTCCCTTAGCCCACAAATACTCTTCAAGGTCCCACTTCCTCATTCAACAAATACGTCTGCATCATGGGAACCATTAGATATCAATGCCTCATTAAACATTCAAGGGATTGATTCCAATCAACCCTAAGGACTTAATCCTTTCTGTAATTACCTTTTTGTTTTATCATTAGATGAATTTGGAGCTCTTTTTGGAATTTCCTATCGTTTTCAGGGATTCATTGGAGAAAAAAAGTTCTTTGTGCATTGCAAGGGTCACTGGAGAGCTTTTGTCCAGACGTCTATCTCCACTGACAGCTCCATTTATTAAACTTTAATTCTGAGCTACCCAAGTATTGCTATGCTCTTTCAGCAAAAGCAAAAACCCTAAGCCTGTGATCTTCAGAGCTTTTCCAGGTGTGCTCCCTTTGCTGTGTTCTGAGGGATTCCTGCCTCTCAGGCAAATACATTTCAGTGCAGAGAAAACTAAAGCTTTACTTCTCCAATTGGCTCCATCAGGCAGCATCCTTTCTTCTTCCAAGCAGTGTGAAGTGGCAGAGGCCAAGCCTTTCTCATTTCTGCTAGCTACACCATAGCTAGACAATATGCATCCGTGCTAAACCATGAGTTTCCCAACCATTAACTACAGAATCTTCTTATCAGTCACATGCAAATTAGATGCTAGGAAATGGGCCATTTAGGTCATCTTTAAGTGCCTTTTCTCTGGAGCTTCTTTTTTGTATCTCTTTCCCAACTATCCTTTTTTTCTGCAATTTCCATTAGCAAAACTGTCCACACTCCCTTTCATCCTTCCATCGGTGAAATATTTGCAATTCCTACAAATCATTTGGGAGAAGTTAGGATAGCAAAGTGCACACAAATAGCACATAAACAAGTAAATAGCTCAAATACTATACATGACATTTAACACTGCTTCAATACAAATTAAAATTTTATTTATTCATGACAATCAGTGAACGTACACAATTAAGCAGCATGTAAACAACCAAACGTATAACCTACATGTAGCAACCTTGAAAGGCTTTTCCCTCTTACTACCTTGTCTCTCACCAGATACTATGAGCAAAAGAATCATTAAAATTCTCCAAAAGGAACTGAAGAAAAAGTGAAAGTAGTTAAAGCTGACAGCCTTTTTGAATCCTTCCACTGCAGGTCAAAGAGGCTCTTCTTTGATGTGTGGTCAGCCAACTAAAACCAGTTACAGAATGTCTATGGATATTCTGCAATCCCTCCAAGGCCCTTCACCTATTCATCATCATGACTATCACAGAAGCAGTTTCCCAGTCTCTTCATGTGAAGAGTTTTGATCAGCTGAGCAAGCTGTTTGGGGTCTCTGTATGTATCAGGCACCAGTTACCCTCAATTGAGACACATATTCACTACTAGTCATTCCCTCTTCTCCATGTTCTTCAACTCCAAATCACATCAATAAGTAGGCAAGTTCCTTTCCATATATTTAACAAATATGGCATAAAGGTTATGGCATCATTTTTAGGTAGAATTCTATGTATACACAAGAAATGTCACATGATAACTCCTTTGGGATTTAAGTTTTGAGGTTCCTAGCATATTTAGCAAGGTGTGGTTGAGACACTCAGGTTGTGGGTCTCCCTGAGGGTGACAGGGTGTGGTTCTAGATTTCTTGATTCTCACCAACATAAATATTTCACTGATTAATTTGTTTTCAAAATCAGTGCCTTGATTAGAATGAATTCTGGTTGGGAAGCTGAATACCAAGAAATGTTCTTCCAACAATGCCTTAGGAATAGGAACAGTTTTTCAGTTTGTTAATCTGGGTCTTTATTTTTTACTTTTGGATATTTTGTATTCCAGAGTTTCCTTTCCCTTAGAGTTCAGGCAGCCAATAATCACTTATTAAGCACTTTCTGTATGTCATACACTGAAACACATGCCAAGGACACGAAGAAAGGCAAAAGACAGTCCTTGCCCTCAAGGAACTCACAATCTTATGGGGAAGACAACATACAAATTTGTAAAACAAAATATTTACAGGATAAATAGGAAATAATCAACAGAGGAGAGGCACTGAATAAGAATGATTGGGAAAGGTTTCTTGTAGAAGGTAAGATTTTTAGCTGGGGCTTGAAGGAAGCCAGGAGGTAGAGCTGAGGAGAGAGAACATTGTAGGTATGGGGGACATCCAGTAGAAATGTATGGAGCTGAGAGATGGAGTGCTTTGTTCAAGGAACAACAAGGAAGTCAGTATCACTGAACTAAAGAGTACGTGGGAGAGCAGAGAGGGGGGATGGCTAAGGTATAAGAAGACTGGAAAAGTAAGAGAGTCTAGGTTATGAAGGGTTTTAAATAGCAAACAGATGATTTTATATTTGCTTCTGGAGGTGATAGGAATCCTCTGGGGTTTATTGAGTAGAGAGGTGAAATGTTCAGACCTGCACTTTCAGAAAATCACTTTGGTAGCTGCTGTGATCTTGATAGTAGTTCCATCTTATTTGAACTTATTCTTTCTGGCTGCTTGTAGTATATTTTCTTTGACCTATAAATTGTTATGACATTTCTTGATGTTTTCAATTGGAGGTTTCTTTCAGGTGACTGCTAGTGGATTCTTTCTATTTTAACTTTGCCCTACGGTTCTAGTAATTCTAGTCAAAGTTTCTAGATTTCTTGAAATATAGTATGCAGGGTTTTTGTTTGGTCATGTTTTGGAGGGAGTATATTGATTCTTAAATTATCTCTCCTCATCCTGTTTTCTAGGTGAGTCATTTTTCATAATAGATAACTCACATGCTCTTCTAATTTTCCAGTCTTTTGACTTTATTTTAATATTTCTTGTCTCATTAAATTATCAAGTTTTCTTTGGTCTATTTTATTTTTCCAGCTGTCCACTACTTAGATAAGGTTTTCCACTTTCTATTCTAAGTTACTCCTTTTCCTTCCAACTTTTTCTCAAGAGTTCGAATTTCATCTTTTTTTTTCTCTTGCTCATTTGTTCCATGAAACCTTGGGAATTTGTGGCTAAGTAATTATTTTCCCCCCTGAAGGCTACTTATATCTACCCATGTCTTCCCCATCCTCAAAAAACCCTCACTTGATCCATGCATCCCCACTAGCTATTATCCCATATCTCTCCTCTCTTTTGTGGTTTGACTCCTTGAGGAGGCTGTCTATAATTAGTGACTCCACTTCCTTTTCTTTTACTCTCTTCTAAACTCTCTGTAGTCTGGCCTTAATATTCAACTGAAACTTCTCTCTTCAAAGTTATGAGTGATTTCTTAACTGCTAAATTAAAACTGCCTTTTCTCAATCTTCATCCTTCTTGATCTCTCTATAGCCTTTGACCCTGTTGAAAAACCCTGATACTGTCTTCTCACTAAATTTTTGTGATTCCACTCTCCTAGTTCTCCTTCCACACATGTGACTTCTCAGTCTCCTTTGCTGGATCTTCATCCAGGTTACACAAGCTAACCCTGGGTTTCCCCAAATTCTTTAACATGGATTGATCTCATCAGCTCAATTATCATCTCTATTCTGATGACTATCAAATCTACTTATAACCCTAACCTCCCTGCTAATCTCCAGTCTCATATATCCAACTGCCTATTAAAGAGCTCAAACTGGATGTTCTGAAGATATCTTAAACTTAGATATATAACACTGAACTTATTATCTTTCCCCACCCCCCCCCAAAAAATCCCCTCTTCCTAACTTTCTTACTACTATTGAGAGCACTACCAGTCTTCTGGGTAGTCTCCCTGCTCAGTTCTCTCCCCTACTATAGTCCATCATTCACTCAGTTGTCAAAATAATATTCTAAAACTACAGGTCTGACCATGTCAACCTCACTCCTATTCAGTAAATTCCAATGGTCTTCCTATTACCTCCAGGATCAATTATAAAATCCTGTTTGGCTTTTAAAGTCCTTCATAACCTAGACCCTTCCTACATTTCCAGTCTTCTTAAACCTTACTCCCCTTCATGTACTCTGTTATCCAGTGACACAGTAGCCTCCTGGCTGTTCCTTACACAGGATATCTGTGTATCTTTCAGCTCTGGGCATTTTCCCTGACTGTCCCCCATGCCTAGAATTCTCTCCCTCCTGATCTCTGCCTCCTTGTTTTCCCTGTCTTCCTTCAAGTCTCAGCTAAAGTCCTACCTTCTACAAGAAGCCTTTCTCAGTCCTCCTTAATCTTAGTGCTTCCTTTTGAGATTATATCCAGTTTCCTATATGTATACATAGGAATATATACATATCTATGTATCTATATATAGATATATGTATATGTTAATGTGTAGTTACATACATGTTGTCTTCCCCATTAGACTATGAGTTCCTTCAGAGTAGGGACTACTTTTTGCCTTTCTTTGCATAACCAGTGCTTAGCACAGTGATTGGCACAAAGGTACTTAATAAAAGCATGTCAACTTGATTAAACATTTTTTCTCGGTTTATCTTTAAGCCTTCTCTTAACCCGTAGTATTTTGTTGTTGTTGTATTAGGAGTTTTCTTCTGTTTACTCATCTCTCTAGCCACAGTTTCTTGATTGGGACTTTGTGCTAAGGCCAGAATCTGCCCTTTTTAACCTTCTTGGATAGGGTGGCTAGACCCTGACTCTCCACTTCAATCTGTATACTTCTGCCATTGTTTTTATTTATTCAGTTTTTCAGTTGTGTCCAACTCTTTGTGACCCCATTTGGGATTTTCTTGGCAAAGATACTGGAGTGGTTTACCATTTCCTTTCCAACTCATTTTACAGATGAGGAAATTAGGCAAACAGGATTTAGTGAGTGATTTTCCCAGAGTCACATAGCTAGTAAATGTCTGAGGTCAGATTTGAACTCAGGTCCTCTAGACTCCAAGCCCCGTACTCTATCCACTGCATCACCTAGTTGCTCATTACTTGCCATTACACTGTCATAGTTTTCAGTGGGATGGCTAGATCTTGATTCCATTTCCCTGGGCTAGGACAGAGAGGTAGGACTGGAATTAGGACCAGGCTGCACCTTCTGCTTTAGTTCCTGGCATCTGTCTCAGTCTCCTGGTGGCCTAACACAGATGCTAGCCTTGGCCCCATTTCTGTCTCTTTCTCCTTGTACCTCATGAAAATTGGCATTCCCCTGGAATGAGATAGGTCCTAACCAAATATTAGTGATCAATTGCTCTGATTTGAGGCCTTCCGTATGGCTCTAAAGTACATACTGCCCAGTTTCATCTGCTATATCTTTGTCTCTTTGAACATTCACCTCCCAAGAACTGACTTTTTCACCTACTACAACTCCAACAGTCTGTTGCCAAGATCCCATTGGCTTTAGGTCCTGCTTTCTAGCAATCATGCTGGCCTTAGACTTCCCCTCCCCTTATTAGTCCTGTACCAGAATGCCTTCAGGCTTTCATCTGCTTCTTTTGCAGTCCTTACCTGGATGGAGGATCTTACTTCTGTTTCTCTTGAGTTTCTTTGTAGCTCTGCTTCATCTGGTGCCCTTTTCTTATTGCAGTCTTTGCCAAAAATCATCAAGCTGCTTTGGGGTGAGGGGGAGAGGGAGACAGAGAGAGAAAAAGAGGGACAGACAGACAGAGACAGAGACAGAGAGAGAGAGAGAAAGAGAGAGAGAGTTCAAAGGAAATGAGTCAGAAATGAGTCAGTAGCAATGAGAGGTGGTGATTGGTGTATTCACTTGAGATAATCACACATCCTGTACACATCAACCTTCCTATGCCCCACCTGGCTACACTTGTTTTATGCTTTCTTCTTTCCCCTACTAGAATTAGGTTACATAAGGGCAAAAACTATATCTTCCTACTTCTTTTGAATACCTTCACAGAGTAAAGTAGGTGCTTAATAAGCATTGTCACATGGTACTTAAAACACTGTTGCATTTGGGGGGGGGGGGGTGAGGCAATGGGGTAAAGTGACTTGCCCAGGATCACACAGCTAGAAAGTATCAAGTGTCTGGGGCCAGATTTGAACTCAGGTCTTCCTAAATCCAGGGCCAGTACTCTATCCACTGCGCCATCTAGCTGCCCCTAACACTCTTATATTTTTAGGAAAAAAGTTTTTTGAAAATATTTTGTCATAGGTTATAAGATACAACTAGAGCATTAAGCAAACAAGATATAAGCTCTGACAAAGAAAAGTACAAACACATTGTTATTGAGAAAAGGTTACAAAAAAGGAAGATACAATTTTTTTTTAATTTGAAGAGCTTAGACATTTTAGCAATCAAACATAATTTAATCTAACAGATATAAAATTTGTCTCATTCTACAAAGATTTGCATATAGAATTGTTCTTAGCCTTGCAAAAATTGTGTTCATTTTAATGGTTACTGTAATAGCTAGATATGGGTAAAAGTCCACTTCTGACATTTTGTTGTGATATAGAGGTTCTGGATTCCTGAAGGCTATGGCAGCAACACACAAACTTTGACAGGTCCTGTCAAGCTGGATAGACTTTAAATATAGGGCTGGTACCAGACTGTGTCTGTCAACTGAAGACTGAGCTAACTAAATCAGCATCAGACTGAAGGTGTGTTTTCAAGACTTAAGAACCTTGGAAGACAACCTACAATCTGGGTTGCAATCTGTGTTGTTGAAGGGAGTGCCCAACAATGATGCAATTTTAGATCTTTAAAGTATTTGGTTCATTAAAATTATTAGAGTGAGAACCATTTCAGGTTCTAAAAAAAATCAGCTCCTGGGTGGCACAGTGGATAGAGTACTGGCCCTGGATTCAGGAAGACCTGAGTTCAAATCTGGCCTCACACACTTGACATTTACTAGCTGTGTGACCCTGGCCAAGTCACTTAACCCTGATTGCCTCACCAAAAAGCAAAATAAATAAATAATAAACTCCTATGACAGGAATACATATTTAATCTTAATAACTGTCTCCAATATTAGAAAAGTATGAAGTAACCAAGATTATTAGAGGAATCCTTTGATATTCTAGATTCAAAATCTTCACATGGAGAAGGGCATGTGCTCTGGCCCCTTTTAGTGGACCATATGATTTGGCCACTTGATAAAGAACATGAGAGATCAGTGGCTCATGGTTCATTCTTTCATCTCTGTCATTATTGTACACCAAAAAGAACTGAACAATTGAACTTAGAGGATTGTCCCCACCCTTTAGTAGACTTTAAAACATTAGAAGGATCAGATGTGTCCAATGACACTAAAAAATTTTAGATACTTAAAACTTGCAAAGAATTAGGTATTTCTACTTAATATTTCACAACTTTTTTTATGCCTTTGTTATAGACAGTTCTTAGCATTCTAAAGATTCTTCAAATAACAAAAGAAATAAAACGTATGGTTACATCTATAAGGACCAGATGTGTCAAATGATGCATGTGCTTTTGTTATAAATAAGAGGAAATGCTCCTTTACTTATTTCTATTGGGTCATTTCTTTGCCCATATTAATCTGTTCCCCTTAGAGTATCAGTATAATTCATAAAATATTTATAAAACTTTGTGAATAATGTACTTACAGAGCAAAATAAAATTTTATCTTTGAATGTAGTTTCCTTCATTTTACTAATTTATTTTTTTATTTTTCCAATTTTTACAGATTTTCAGAATTTATAGTTTGCCTGCCATAATAATATAGCTTTATTTGCATCCTTACTGATAAAGTGTCTGAGACATTTTCATATGTCTTTTTAAACTACTTTTAAAGCTAATAAGAAATATCCTATTTGACTCATCTAGTGGTGAACTTTCAAATGGTGAATTTGATGAAAAAAATGCTACAATTGCAATGTGTAAGGCAGAAAAAGAATGTTACCAATCTGATTTGAGTGATGATTAATCTATAAAATTTCTTCTATAGTTAACAATCCAAAAAGTAAGGAGTAACGAGGTTCTTGCCACAGACAAGTTTGTAACAAAAGAGATGAAGAGTAACAATGTCTAGAGAGTAAAGAAGGTTCTTTTTGGCAATGAGCTGCTACTTCTGTAGCAGTATAAGGATACTTGTAAAAGTTAAGTATCATTATACTTCAATCTGACCCCACTGCATGTTTTAAACCTGTGTTGTCAAGAAAAGTTTTGGATCTTCTTTTTGATTTTTATTTAGTGAGCTAATACTTAGAAACATTCAGAAATGTACAAATGCTAAGGGCTGAATAATATGCAATGCTGTTTTGATACATTAGATTAATTGGAAAAGTTCATTGGTCTTAATTGTTACTTGTGGTGTTATTGGTGGAAGAAATGTATCCTTAAACAGTATGTGGGGGGCAGCTAGGTGGCACAGTGGATAGAGCACCAGCCCTTGAGTCAGGAGGACCTGAGTTGAAATGTGACCTCAGACAACATGATACTAGCTGTGTGACCCCAAGCAGGTCACTTAACCCTGATTGCCTTGCAAAAAACAAACAAAAGACAGTATGTGGAATAGGTTTTAGGGGTGTTCATTGTTCAATAAAACTATGCCATATAATTGATTCCTAGATGTAATGAAGTACCTTTGCTTTGACCTGAGAAATGAAAGGAAACAAAATTTGTTTCAGGAAAAGTTAGTCTAGTATCCTCGCTGTGGAATCTTTTTACCGAAAATTATCAAAAGGCATTTATTACTGATGTATATATGACAGTCAATAAACAATTGCTGCCTTGCAAGGCACATTGTAAATTTATTCAACACATGTCAAATAATCCAGGCAAATTTGGCCTGAAATTTTGGTTGACAGTAGACACTGAAAACAAATCCTCGTTCAAAAGATTCCCTTACTTGATAAAACATGATTCTGGAAGGAACCATACCAGTAAACCTATAGATGTAGTGTTGAAGCTCATGAAAACACTATTTTAAAAAAAGAAAGCTACGTTATAACCTGAGTCAATTGTTTTACATCCCTTGATTTTTCACTGATGCTTGCAAAGCAAAGGTGCATCATTGCTGAGATTATTCTTCAGAACCATAGAGAACTTCCAGAAATAACAAAGACACACGAAACTTTGGTTTTGAAATCTATAGAGAAACCTACAGTGACATTGATGTCATACTGATGAAAGAAATCCAAGTATATTAGTGTTTATGAATACCCACTATTTAAATGTTCAGATTCTAGCAGGAAATAGCACTAAGCAAAAGCCCAATACTATCCTATTTTATAAGAATAAGGTAGGAGTAAATGCTCTTGACCAAATAGCAAGGCATTATTCAGTGAAAGCAGGAAGTAGGAGATGGCCTATGCATGTTTTCTAGATAGTTCTAGATATGGCCTTCATTGGCAGCTGGATAATATATTTAAAAGTTGTAATTCAAACACTGAGCCACTAGGTAGTACAGTGGATAGAGTGCCAGGCCTGGAGTTGGGAAGACTCATCTTCCTGAGCTCAAAACTAGCCTCAGACATTTATTAACTGTGGAACCCTGGGCAAGTCAGTTAACCCTGTTTGCTTCAGTTTCCTTATCTGTAAAAAGGGCTAGAGAGGCAAATGGCAATATCTCTGAGAAAACCCTTAATGGGGTCACAAACAGTTAGACACAACTGAAAAATAAACAAACAACAACAACAGTTCAGATATTAACTGTCAAGAATACATTCAAAAGGTGAGTGAGGAGTTCACTGGAGTTTGTCCAAGTGGCAAATTAAAAGTTACAGTAACCATGGTAGAAGATGTGAATGCTCAACTAAAATATGCCACATTTGTGACACTTCAAAGTGCTGAAACAGGACTACAGAGGTATCCTTCATTTGCAAAAACCTGTTTACAGCAAATGTATGACCACAAAGTATATAAATTATGATCCCTAAATAAGTGATTACAAGGAAATATATTTGATAATGAATATTTTCTTTCTTCTATATATGGAAATGTATTTTATATATAAATAATTTACAATCAAATATTATAATTTCACTTTTTTTACCATCTTCCCAGCAACTTCTTTTTATTTTTATTTTATTTTTAGGCAATTGGGGTTAAGTGACTTGACACGGTCACACAGCTAGTAAGTGTCAAGTGTTTGGTTTGAGGCTGGATTTGAACTCAGGTCCTCCTGACTTCAGGGCTGCCGCTCTATCCGCTGTGCCACTGACCTACCCCCAACTTCTTTTTTTTTTAAGTACTTCATTTTATTTTTTTTGAGTGGGGTGAGGCAATTGGGGTTAAGTGACTTGGCCAGGGTCACACAGCTAGTAAGTGTCAAGTGTCTGAGGCCGGATTTGAACTCCAAGGCTGGAGTTCTATCCACTGCACCATCTAGCTGCCCCCTATAATTTTACTTTTGAATTAAAATATTTTCATCCTATTCTATTTCCTTTGTCTTACAGGTTTTTTTTTAAAAAATGCACTGTTTCAATTGGTTCTCAAGGGATCTTTTAGCACTCATCTTTCTAGTACTACAAAGAGCTGAAGAGAAAATCTTTACTTCTCTGTCTTCTCTTTTGAACACTTCTCTCTTAGAAAGGATTCAGTAGGTATGAAATAAATTGTATAATGGCCATGGCAACCCATCACTTCTACAAAGCAATAGCAATCTTCATATAGGCAAGTCTGAAATTGGACCTCAAGTCCCTTTCTGTCCCTTTTTCTTTATGCTTCTTTGTCTACACAGAGGTGATAGTAATTATCC